TGGATTAAATAAGTCGACTGCCATGTTTGTGGTAGTTTTCCAGTGCGGTGTGTCGGCCCTCTTATCTTTATTATTTTGCAGTGATTAAGGCAATCATAATAATAATGGCCAGCTTGTCCATTTACGTACCCATTTTCTGACTGACAAGACAAAGTTTGTTCAAGATTTTGATGCTGAGCTTTTGTTCTGACCTTGAAAACCCGAATATTAAGGGTTTGTTATGCGATATATTATTATAATTGTTAAATAGAACGGTATTTGTTAGACTTGTAAAGTATAAACAAAACTTTGAGTCCTGAAATTTCGATTTCATCATTACCTGACTGGAAGTTAGTGATCGATCGATTGATCAAGCCCAAGTCGCGAATTCAAATGTAACAACAAGAAAATTGCAAATATATATACGTGTCCGATTGATTCAGGAATTCGATAACCATTAATTAACTTATTCCTGTCTCCAGATCAGTCGCCCCATCCTAACATGTGTTGTTGGCGATGACGCGGCCGTTTGACATGTAAAATTTTATACATGATTCATAGTCCTATCTGCCCTGACTTACTCTGTCATAAGAGATGGGGTTTTCTTTTTCTTAGAAATCGTTGGTGAACAAATTCTGTCTTATTGATAGAATAACACAGTTGATTTATTGACGAAATAATTGCGTGAGTTACCACCTCTGTTTGTTCCAACAACACGGCCTCAAAAACATTCTCGTGATGGCATTTATTAGCTCTCGCTACGTTTGGTGGCAAAATTTCTAGGGAAGGACATGTTCAGACAGAGGGATAATTTTTAGATGTTACTGCCCTGTTATCACAAACAATTACTGACTCTTGCTTCTCATCGTTGGTTAGTTATTGTAGCAGCAAATAAATCTACAAAATAAATGGCTCTATAAGTCTTTGATATTGGATGCTGACCACATTAGTTTTAGTGCACTTACCTAGCTGAAGGGTCTTGGTCATGCATCCGCACCAGATCACGAGTGGGAACATCGTGTTCAACATCCCTTGCAATCGCTAGCGAGTCTAGATCAGTCGATCCTCGTCATATTGACAGCCTATCAAATATATCTTCGAACCTCCTCGCTTTTGACTTTTGATTTCACTAGGTTTGTACGATTCACAATAGGTGTTACTGGTTAACTCGTTGTCAAACTACAAAGTTGACTTCAACATACCGTTGCGACAGCCTTTAGTTGATCAGTCCAGACGACGAAAAGGCATATTAGTCGTAATAAGGAGGGTCTCATATGATCCAGATATTTTAAAATGCTCCTACAGACTCACTCTGTATCGAAGGTGTTTGCTACAATAATGAAGGCGGCTATCAAACCGGAGTAAGTTGTTTTTGGGTTTGTGAAAACCTTTAAAATATTAGAACTTTTGTAGTTAAGGTTTTGTACAGCCTCCTTCCACATGGGTAAAATCAAAGCACTATCGTTATGTCGGATACAGTTCTCATCATGAGGATTATCATTGTCAGTTATACGGATAGTATCATTCGGTCATAGAGCAAGAAGAATTGTTCGATAAAACCTTTGCAATTAAACCCAAAATACTCTGAGTACATGAGGAACACGAAATTGACCGTTTATTTAAAAACTGAGTCCTCGTTAGGAAAAGAAGGCAGTTCTATTATCTAACTACCTACCAAATAATTTGATTGTTCAAGGGCTCATTACTTACTACTTACGTTTACGGAATCTTTTATCCGGTTTAGCGACATTCTGTCGAAAACTTTTCAGATACCAATATTAGTGTGATTCCTTTGTAGTTCTCATTACTGCTTAGACCTATTTTCTTTGGTATTTTGATGAGTATCCTTCTTCCTAGACTGTCGGCATTCGTTCTCCATCCCAAATGGAATGTGGGGCAAGTTTGCAATTACGTTTAGGTCTGACTTCAGTGTTTCAGTTAGCATTTTGTCTGGTCCTATCGCTTTCCCATCTCTGATTTGTTTGTTAACCGGTCATCCTGATTTTTAATCGTTGGTGGTGACATCGATGGGAGGGTCTGTAGGTGCTGCTTAGATGTCCGGTGGACTTACTGAAGCTGGTCTATTCAGTTCTTCAAAAAATCCTGCCCACCTATTCCTCTGTTCTTGTGTCTCGGCGACTGCCTTGATTTCTTTGCCCTTGACTGGTCTCCCTGGTTTACTATATCTCCCGACCAGTTTTCTTGTTATATCGTGTAGTTGCTTCATATTTTCTCTCGTGCGGCTTATTCCGCTATCGTTGTTAGCTCTTCCAAGTATCTCTACTTGTCAGCTCTAATGCTTTGATTCACTTGCTTGTTTGCTGAGTTGTATTCATTTTTCACCTTGACTTTTTCTGTTCTTGTTCGACTCTTAAGTTCTGTCTCATTGTCCTCCCTTTGCTAAATCCTGTACGGGGTTTCGATGAAAACCCATCCCTTGTGGTGGTGTTTCTTGAGGCACAGGACCTCCTGACATGTTGAAGTCACTGCTTCTCTGATCCTTTTCCAGTATTTATCCATGATAGGTTCTTTTTATTAAACAGATCTTATAAGGCCTGGAGCCTATTGCTAAGAGCAGTCCCCAATTCGCTGAGTTTGACAGTTTCTCTAAGGAAGGCTATATCAAACCTTTGAAATGATATTTTCCCGGGTAGTTCTGTGTATGAATTTCAGGCGGAATATGGTGCAACTATAACTATATTATTTAAGGCACGTTAATGTAATGATCTCCGACTATTTTTGTTCCTTTCTCCCAATACATGTCGTCCCATGATATATTCATACCCGATATTGTTCAGTCCGACTTTGACATTTAGGTCTCTCATCACGATGGTCATGTAGTTTCCTGGGCACTTCCCTACGATCGACTGCAGTCCCCATCGAACTGACCATTATTGTCTTCTTCGCTATCATCGGTGGATAAATGACACCGGATAACGTTCGTTATGATTCCCTCCTTCCACATTTTGAAAGAGGCATTGACGATTTTGGATCCATGAGTTTCTCGTCCTATGAGTGACCTTGTTTCTACTTCAGAGAGCATCAGAGAACCTCTCTGTATGTGTGGAGCATTTTATTCTTCGTGACCAGACTACATCAGAATCTCCCCCTAATCCAAGCTGTTCTAACCAGCTTAGTTCCAGTGGATTTAATTAATTGTGAGAACAGTCGATTTTTATCTCCTCATTTCTGTAGCTACTTGATTAGTCATTCCATTTACTTACATGGATTGTTACTCCGGTTGTCAGAAGGGGCGTGGGCCTCATGACTTCCAAAGAATTTCGGCTTTCAGCTCGAGGTGTTATAGATCCTTCAACTCTCAAGACGCAGTTTGAATCGTTTACTCTGGTTAACGTTCTTTAGTGTTATAACTTGTGGCCTTATGCCCTGTTAATATATGACGCAATGATACCGCCAATTAGAGAACAGTGAATTATCGATCGGACCAATGACGCATGAAACACGTAAGGGCAGTTCAGAGACTTTATCGGTCCTGCTTTCTGTCTAGCCCCGCCTGTTAAGTCCAAAACACCAATTTCAGCATCTGAGATATGAATCATTTGTTTCAAACAGACTGGATTTATATACAAATCAAACAGAACACATCGCACGATAAAACAAGAAATACACACTTGTACAATATCTAGCCAAAAGTGGCTCAAGAATTACCATTCATAATTCTCGTCGGCACATGACATTTAGCAAGTTTGTTTTCCATGTGACGGGATTGATGACCCCAAGCCCAACCCTCCTCCTTTACTCGGGTTTTGGACCAACAGTAACCCTAGAAGGACTACAGGAGGAGTTACGAATGTATTCGAGGAACATATACTTCGGAAATTCGGTATTACAGACGAACAATAGGAGAAGGGCAGGAATAGCCAACTTGATTTGGTAATCGCTGCTCACTATTTGTAGTTAGAAAAGTAAGCCAAAGACGAAACGAACAACGGAATGAACGCACATACGATCGTATGACCACATTAAAGGTTGTAAGAGAATAATGGACATGGTTGAAGTTAGTGTGGATGACTCAAAAAGAGAGAATTAATCCGTCAGTTCAAGGGCCAGAATAACCTTTATAGGTGTGACAGTACATTAGGCCACCGAGTTTTTACAATGATCCCTGACGTCCATCGAAATTACTGTCACTAGCTCTTGAAATAGTATACATGTAATAAAACCAATGACACCAGAAGATCATGAAGAAAGTTCGCCCTCGGAAAGTTCGTTGAGACTTGAGATTTTCATAGTCCACAACAACAAGTCCTTTTGGTCCCGGGAAAATACATACCCACACCAGGAGGCTGGAGCTTGAGCCAAGAACCGTTTCATAATATGAACTTCGATGAACTCAGCGTACAAGAGGTCAAACTGAATAGACATAAAATGCTGGAATCAAAATAATCATAAGGTCTATGTTCCAACACTACTGTATGTTTCTGGGTCATGATCGATATGCTTCAAAACATCGGGTAGTTTCGAAGTTGTCGCATAAGTGTAGTAACCAATGAAGACTATGCTGTTCGTTGACTCAGCAACGTTGAGACAAGGCTTTTAACCACATGTATACAAACACATCACTGTGTGGTTTGATTAGGGATACTGTCGGGTTTCATAAAATTTCAGGATCGCCGTCTGTTATTCAGAAACCGGATTTATACGAGCCCTAAACTCAACGTAACCGTAAGTTTTTTGGGGTATGAGAGCTTGTCATAATATGTTAGACCATGAAAACTGTAGAAAGGAACTCCAAAAGTCACATCTGAATGAGGAGAGAGAGAGCGGTTAACAACTGGAATGTGCTCTGACAAGTGATATCAACTCAGTCTGTGCACGCTTTCAAAGCGAAATACGATCTTCACTTGAAAAATGCTTCGTATATTGAAATAAGCCAATCGATCTATTGTCTGCATTAAGGAAGACTGTATATTGAATGTTGTCTTTATGCATTATTCAGCTATTGTGCATTGAACCTTGTTTAGGTCTGCATTTGCGTGACTTCAGTCGTGAGTGTCGAGATGGGCCGGAGACCCGCTAGATGGTATGTAGTTTCCTTTACTGGTTACATTTAGTAGTTATCGATATTGCAAAAATAAACCTTATCCTAAGTCAAGATTTTGTCGTGGTGTCCCAGACCCAAAGATTCGAATCTTTGATCTGGGTAAGAAAAAAGCAGACGTTGAAGAATTTCCTCTATGTGTTCATATGATATCAGATGAATACGAACAGCTGTCCAGTGAAGCATTAGAAGCTGCTCGTATTTGTGCAAACAAGTATCTGTTGAAGCATTGTGGAAAAGATTCATTCCATGGTCGAATACGCGTTCATCCATTTCATGTGATCCGCATCAATAAAATGCTTTCGTGTGCTGGGGCTGATCGGTACTCACTCCTTCATCGCTAACATTTGTGCTTAGTTTGCAAACAGGTATGAGAGGTGCATTCGGAAAGCCCCAGGGGACAGTTGCACGCGTTGATATTGGACAAGTTATAATGTCAGTTCGTGCTCGTGATCAACATCAAGCTCAAGTTGTTGAAGCTCTCAGACGTGCCAAAATGAAATTCCCAGGTCGGCAAAAAGTAAGTATTTGAATACTGAGTGTGTAGATTTATTATGAACATTCGACATTAAATGACGACAGTGTCGATTCTTTCACTAGGTTCCTATTATCAAAATTTAATAGATTACCGTATTGAACACCTAAAAGCCTTAAGTCCAAACATTGCCTCTTATTCGTAATCGCACGTAAGACTTGTAGGTTTCATAAGAACCACTATCATCGCCTAATCTTATCACTGATTCTATCAGTCAGTCTCTTAGGATTCATCCTTTTTTGCTACTGTAGTGTGATGACAACCGAATGGGTGTTTGTTCTGTGTCTAGTCTCCTGTGACTAGCTTGTCCTCTAAAAGGCTGTTATATACTGTGGGTAACTTACGAAATGCAAGGTTTTCTCAGGTTTTATGTGATGCACATTTCAAGGATCGACGACGCTCGTTGGTTTGCTTTAATGTGCGATAGTGATATCAAATGGTCAAGTTTATTCACGCGAACTATGGCCGCTTTGATACAGTTTTGTCGTTCGAGTAAGTTGTAGTTACCTTTCAGAATGGAAATAAAAATACCGACCCATAATTGCTTGTATGGGCCTTGTCCTAGCATATACATTTCCGTTAAGAAAAGCAAACAGTTGCTGTATCTGTAGTTTATCCATAAGTTTGCTCTCAAAAATCGTTGGCAAATATTTTACAAACTTGGGTATACATTATCGTATTGTTAGTAATTTTCTTCTTTTTACATGATGCACATTTCAAGGACCGATGATGCTGTCATCGGTTTAGTTCGATGTGCAATAATAAAGTCAAATAATCAAAGTTCATTTACGTGAACTATGGCCATTTTGATACAAGCTTACCTTTCTAAACTATTATTCGTAGTTAATGTATTTGTTCGATGCAAGTTCACTAGCTTTTTAGACAGTAATTCTTGGGTGATAATATACATTCCTTCGGTGTATATTTTTTTCATTCATGAACAAAGTAGTAAGCATATACACCCGATATCCGTTTTATAGTCACTTTATTATTGACAATTTGAGTTTGTGACTCGTTTTATGTCTAATCCATGACTTTTGGCAAATATTTTGTAGCGAATCAGGTATTTTATATGTAAAAGCTAATTTTTGTCATCTAAGTAGACTAGCTAGAGACTTGATAATACCAATGCTTACTTTGGTAAATGGGTGAGGTGTCGTAACAGTTGCTGGTTGTGACGTTTTACTATTTCATTTTCCAGCTGCGATCTACACTTGTGTACAAATTTGGTCATATCCAGCTACCCAACTGAAATACTTGGGCCAATCTACTAAGTCAAGTCTTCCAATTCAGTTACCTTAGTACTAGGACACATCTGAGTGTGTACTTCCCAACTCTTCCATAACAATACCACCGTAACTGATAAATATGTCATGACCTACACTTTAGTCTCAAAAAACATTCAAGTCAAACTCTTACGTATTCTTGTCAAACTTATGACAGTTGTATGATCAAAACCTCAAATTTTTTATAGCATTGTATCCCGAATTCTACCCGAATCATTAGGATCTCAAGTTTATGTTAACATAAATCTCATTACTTGTCTTGATGTATTTGTATCTAAATCAATAGATAGCCGTGTCACGTAACTGGGGATTCACAAAATGGCCTAGAACTAGTTTTAACGAAATGCGTGCCAAAGGACAACTAGTTTCGGACGGTGTTGGTGTGAAGTATCTTCCTCCTCATGGCCCCTTAGAACAATGGAAACAAACACAGGCACGTCTAGCTGGAATCACTGTATAAAAATAAGACTACAATACATATTTGGTAATAATTCTTGAAATTTTCACTCTTTCGGCTGTGTGATTGATTTATTAGTCTGTTAGTTCTACTCAATGCGATCATATGAAAAGCAAAATTATACATCTGAACACCATAACATTAGGTTATGAATTTTATTTGAACACATATATTGATACAAAGAAACACTGAATACATTGCGCCACACAAGTCACATGGTTTGTGTGTGGGCTGTGATACTCCATGGGTGCCGAAACCGAAGCGGGTAGTTTTCTTAAGGGGTCACACCCTGAGCCTTCGGTTTGAAGGTCTAATCCACAAGACTGTAGCAATGTCAGGAGATGCAGTCCCATGGTAGCCGGTTACCAATAATTGGTCCATACGTCATTTGTTCCCTCACAATTCTGGAGCTCATATTTGTTAGCGGGACGTAGACTAGATTAAAGCATGCTCAATGCATGATTGCTTTAGTGCACGCTGATAGGCTAATTCTTATCCAATCAGCACTAGTCGATAGTTGGAGAATACTCTAGAATTTTCTCATGTAAAAAACTATAAATATACTGACGCTTTCTCTATTGTGCTTCTGACTTGCTATTTGGAATATAATCTCTTTCCTGTTCAACCGTGTTCTGATTTGCGGACTTGTCGAGTGAATCGGTGTCCGAGAATACTAAGCAATAGGAATAGCTGGGTCATAACCGTAAGAAGAAAGAGATTATAACAATATTCACCATTGGTTTGCAATCAAGGTTTCTCAACTCCTTTGTGTGGATCCTCCATATCCACCAACCCGGTAAAAGCACCGAACATCCGCTTTTTATCCTCGATTCCGCAAAACACCCGCAGCTGAATACGCGTGGCCATGTGAGAGCATTTCAAGAAGGAGAGCTGAGTCTCAACACTTGGCTGTACTAGGGCTTTGAATAATGATCTCCGAGAATGACTAGATGTTGGGGTCACAGGAGGACCTGAATCTATTGACAGAGAAGTGGAGTGGAATTAAAGGCCGATAGTTCAATAACCCAATCATAGTTCAAACAACCTCCAAAATCGAATGACCAATCATAGTCGAAGATGACACACATCCCTAGCAACACAGATTTGTATTCTCGTTCATTCTAGTAATATGTCTCAAAATAGCTTCCAAAGTAAAATGTAAACCTGTGTATTCTCATAGCATACTACTTCATACGTTAAGAAAAAGATACCGTGACGAACACAAAGACTCGATGTCATCATAAACCTAACTCAACATTATACATCATTAAATATACCATCAAAATTTGAAACCCTAGAAGGTTTTCGCAATATCATAATGCGCAAATACACTGCCTATATCGCCAACTACTATAACAGACGATGTAGACTTTCACACTAGCCACATGCATGGATGATTGTGTACGTGAAGAAGTGGTCTGTGATGTTGAGCTATGTTGTGTTGTATGAATTAGTTGAGTGTGCTCTGATGATTGGTAGTTTGATTTGTGTTAACTGCGAGTGTTGTTTTTGTCGGTGAAGGTGATGATTACTGTGTAATGTGTGCATGTACATATGTGTGCACTTATATATATATATATATATATATATATATATATATATATATGTATATAAATATTTATAAATGATGGTGAATGGAGGAGTGGGTGAGGTGGCGATTGAGTGTGGATGTGGTCGCTTGCAAATCTGTGTTCAGGTTTGCTTTGAAGCACATCCGAGATTGAGAGATGCATGTGATGTACTGGCTGTTTCCGATGCAATTGAAACAGGCAACAGGATCCATGCTAAATTTGTAATAGTGTATATATTTGTATATATATATATGTATATATATATATATATATATGTGTGTGTATGTATGTATGTATGTATGTATTTATTACCTGGATATGACTTTGAATAATTGATGGAGTAGATGCTTGTGTGGTTGGTGACATTTGGGATTGTTGCGCTTGATCGTGCTGAGTGATGGTGCTGTTGGTCGTAGTAGTTGTGATGAAGCTGAAAATGATAGAAGTTGTGGAGTGGAAATATTGAATGTTGTTGGATTGGTGTGCGATATTGGTTTGAATGAGGCGGAATATTTTGTGTGTTGGAGTGTGTGGGTGTAAATGTTGTTGGTTTAGTTTATATGTGAAGAGTATGTTGAGGTGATTGTTTGTGATGGTGGTGATAATGCTGGCATTTCTGTGTAGAGATGAAGCAGCTCGTATGTGCTTTAGTCTCAAGGGAGAAATGCGAAATTGTTTCGCGCGTTGCTCATCAGGTCTGGGTGATTCCGGATTTTGGGCACAGGCGATAAATACTGTGTTCTTACGTAGTGATGGGATGAATGTGTGTGATTGGGATTAGCCGGTTACTTTTGGATAGCGGTTATGGATGTGTATAAGTGTGGTGAAAGAACGACCAAAACGCGCGTGTGTGTGTGTGTGCCAGATGAAATGAAGTAAGGTGGTGTTGTGTTTTTCTACGTGAAGCAACTAACTCGGTGTGAATAGAGTTGGTTGAACCGATTAATGTTGGATCGATCTGTTCTGGGGTGAGTAGTGAAATTGGATTATTTATTCTGTTAACAATACTGTTAGTGTTGATGAGGTGTTGGTGTTTCAACTGAGAACGGGTGTGATTAGTTGGTGGTGTTGTGTGTGGTTTGTGATGATCAGTGAATGATGATGATGATGATGATGATCATCGTGACCAGCACCCATTCAATGTGACGCAATTGACTGGGCTCCGAACGATGGTAAATTGAAGTTGCGAATGTAGACGATAGTGTGATTTCGCGACAGTATCAAAATCGTTAGTTAGACAGATGTGAATATGATCGTGTATTGTATGCCGAAGTATTGATCACAATGTGTGTGTGTGTGTGTAAGTGTTCGTTGGTGGTGAGGTTTGTGATGTTTGTAACAAGAAAGAGTAATTTTGTGGTGACGATGCAATCGTTTGTTGGTGTTGTTAGTGTTTTGTAGAGGGAGAGAGTTGGCGACGTGAGTGGTGAGAATAACTATGGTTGTTTGTTGTTAAGCATCATAAAGTGCTCTGCTCGATGGGCGGGTCTGAGCTCCAGAGTGATGCCAAATTGTAATGGCAAGGTGACTATGGATGGGGTTCATTTTGCCAGAGAGTAATGTGCGAGTTGTTTGTCGAGCTGATGTATGCATGTATATATGTGTGTGTGTGTGTATGAGAAAGAGAGAGGGTCGTTTTGATGGTGGTATTAGTGGTGGAGTTGGGACGCGGAGTGGTGTGATGGCTAATATGCGTGTCTTTTTTGAATGCTGACTAGCATTTAGCTGAATCGCACTGACCTGCCCCTATGAACAACTGATCGGTAAGTGAGTGGAGTGTGTTTTGTGTCTGTATTTTGGATGGTTGTGTGTGTGAGGTTGTTAGTTGTTGGTATTAGGAAGGGATAATGTGACGGTGGCGGTTGGTTTGATAACATGTAATGATGTTGTGGAGGTGTGTTTTGTTTGACGGGGATGTGGTCGTAGAGGATATTGTTAGTATGTTGTTGTCGTTTGTGCTTGAAGAGTGACTGAGTTTTGGAGTATGTGTGTGATGGAGGTGTATTGTGGAGTGGATGCCGAGTTGTATTTGGTGATTCTGTGCACCAAGTATGCTTAAGGTATCCGAAATCGAAGCTAGTTCACCAACTACTGTACATGACGTGCTGTAGTATTTCACACTAGCCACATGCATGGATGATTGTATACGTGAAGAAGTGGTCTGTGATGTTGAGCTATGTTGTGTTGTATGAATTAGTTGAGTGTGCTCTGATGATTGGTAGTTTGATTTGTGTTAACTGCGAGTGTTGTTTTTGTCGGTGAAGGTGATGATTACTGTGTAATGTGTGCATGTACATATGTGTGCACTTATATATATATATATATATATATATATATATATATATGTATATAAATATTTATAAATGATGGTGAATGGAGGAGTGGGTGAGGTGGCGATTGAGTGTGGATGTGGTCGCTTGCAAATCTGTGTTCAGGTTTGCTTTGAAGCACATCCGAGATTGAGAGATGCATGTGATGTACTGGCTGTTTCCGATGCAATTGAAACAGGCAACAGGATCCATGCTAAATTTGTAATAGTGTATATATTTGTATATATATATGTATATATATATATATATGTGTGTGTATGTATGTATGTATGTATGTATGTATTTATTACCTGGATATGACTTTGAATAATTGATGGAGTAGATGCTTGTGTGGTTGGTGACATTTGGGATTGTTGCGCTTGATCGTGCTGAGTGATGGTGCTGTTGGTCGTAGTAGTTGTGATGAAGCTGAAAATGATAGAAGTTGTGGAGTGGAAATATTGAATGTTGTTGGATTGGTGTGCGATATTGGTTTGAATGAGGCGGAATATTTTGTGTGTTGGAGTGTGTGGGTGTAAATGTTGTTGGTTTAGTTTATATGTGAAGAGTATGTTGAGGTGATTGTTTGTGATGGTGGTGATAATGCTGGCATTTCTGTGTAGAGATGAAGCAGCTCGTATGTGCTTTAGTCTCAAGGGAGAAATGCGAAATTGTTTCGCGCGTTGCTCATCAGGTCTGGGTGATTCCGGATTTTGGGCACAGGCGATAAATACTGTGTTCTTACGTAGTGATGGGATGAATGTGTGTGATTGGGATTAGCCGGTTACTTTTGGATAGCGGTTATGGATGTGTATAAGTGTGGTGAAAGAACGACCAAAACGCGCGTGTGTGTGTGTGTGCCAGATGAAATGAAGTAAGGTGGTGTTGTGTTTTTCTACGTGAAGCAACTAACTCGGTGTGAATAGAGTTGGTTGAACCGATTAATGTTGGATCGATCTGTTCTGGGGTGAGTAGTGAAATTGGATTATTTATTCTGTTAACAATACTGTTAGTGTTGATGAGGTGTTGGTGTTTCAACTGAGAACGGGTGTGATTAGTTGGTGGTGTTGTGTGTGGTTTGTGATGATCAGTGAATGATGATGATGATGATGATGATCATCGT